GCCAAACGCACCAGACACTATTTCCGTGTAGAGAGTGAGTGGATATGTATGCGAACGCCAATCACACCGCCACCTGTCAACGACTTCAGTCGAGGGAAAACACCCCTCCCGCCAAGATTGACCCGTCCTCTCGAGGACGCGTTGTCAATGGTCTACACAGCTAAGTCATGCAAAACATCAGTACGCCCCGCCGCCCCCGCCCCCGCCCCCCGAAGATTGACGGACCAGCTACACGCCCCCCTCCCATCGACAAACCTTGCGCGGGGACCGGGGGACGTCCGGCTTCATCTTGGAGGCTTGCGAAAGCTCCAGGGCATCCTGAAGCATGTTCCTGAGGAAAAATTCAGGAGATTTCACCCGGCAAAAATACTCAGAAGGGCGCACCGAAAGCGTAGCTTTCGGAGAACAAGACATCTTGGTCTCTTTACCGTAGTCGTTTGATCTACTACAGTCTGAGAAGTCATTTCGCCGTCCTCCGCTTGGCGTGTCGACGCGTGCGAAACAGCAAGCTCGACCTATGAATCGTAGACGAGCTAACGCTTACCGGATGATGAGGTCGGTACCCCTCTGGGTGTCCTCGTCGAAGACGTCGTTCACCCCGTTGAGCACCTGGCGGAACTCGGCGAACTTGAAGGTCTGCTGGACCTTCGGCAACACGTTCGCCTGGGGGTCCTTGGCCTGCAAAAGTAGGGGCAAGGTACAATCAGAGAGCGTGGGTGGATTTGGTTGCAAGTCAGGTCTAACAGGGGTAGGACTACGTCCTTGGTCTGCAAGTACGGGTGAGATTCATAGAGAGGGCGGGCGGGGTTACAAGAGATCAGGGCTAAAGCGCCATCTGTAAGCTCGAGAACCCGCACACGACAGGGCACGGCATGGCAGTAGCGTCACAGGGAGGAGACGGAATGACAAGGACAAGAACAAATTGCACAGACCGAAGAGCATTGATGAAAATACCGCAGGTGTTGGAAGTGCTGAATGAAAAACAACAGCGCCAGCAAGCTCCCGCAACAACACCAACACCAACGACGGATCAAAATTTCTCACGCCAAACCTCCACCATCTACGGCACGACAAATGGACTACAAAGCATAGGCTGTGGAGGTGCTCAACGCTTACGCGCAACAGCACCAGCACCGCCTACAACCAGAGCAAAAGATCACAAGTTCTCATACCAGGGTGTCAGAAATGTCCTTGGTGGCACTCTGGTAGTTCTTCAGTGCCGCGAGGTCTTTCTTCACCCCGTCCGACGCCATCTTGTCGGAGTCCTTCACTGCCGACCGGGGGTCCAGCACCTTGAGCGCAACACGCACCGGGGGGGGGGGGGGGGAGGGGGTACGCAGTTGTTGCTGACCTTGGTTTGTTGACCATGTAGGTACGTTATAATTATAATCGATATCGATCACCATCGCGCCTACTGCTACTGATGGAAACCTCGCGAACAACCAGGCCTTGGTCTGCGGAGGGTAAGGAGCATGCTTGTCTCATCCTATCGCGTGCGTGCACATGATACGTCAACAGACATCAGTACATCCTTTGCGGAAGTTGTTGCACGTGCCGTCAGGAAATTACACTACGAGGAGAGCACTTGAAGCACGTCGTGGAGCGGGGTCTTGGGTGTTCATTTTGGAAGAGACAATGCGCCAGCACACCGCGTAGCTCTAACGGACAAGTTAACGATTCAGCTGATACTGTTTCGTGTGCGACGTTCTGTATATGTTGGTATACTCTCGCTCGTCTTTACAAGGTATCTCTTGGTCACGCCTTGTGTTGCGTTGCTTCCAACGTAGATGCGAGAGAACTCCAGATACTGCAGCAGGAGACTGCCGCAGCATGAGCGATGATACCGAACTCCACCAGAGAGGCCCATCGACATTTCGGGGGGGGGGGAGGGGGGGGGGCTGCGGAAAGCCGCGACAGCAGAACATGCACACGTGCCCTTCCCGTCAACGAGACAACAACACAATACCAATCTGCGTATGAAGGGTAAACTAACAACTGCCCGATACGCAGGGGGCGCTTGTGCCTGAAGTGTACGCAGGGGGCGCTTGTGCCTGAAGTGGTGCACGCTCAACGATGGTCTCGACGGCGGAAACCGCATGGCGTGCTCCTTCTCCGCTTGCACACTAGAGACGCGATAGGGTCTGCAAAAATTCCGACTCCCCGGCACCCCCTTCCGTACACGTCTAACAATCGCGCCGTTCAAGCTCGAGCAACACTCACTCACCCCAGCCCACTTGTCGCTATTGCTGACGGGAGAGAGACCACCGGCCGACGCGGGCTGAGACAGCGCCGCGATCCCCGCGAGCGAGAGCACGCCCGCCACGCCTGCGGGTGTTTGCGTAAAACGTCGTGGAACAAAGCGATGCGGTCTCCGCGCTGACTTCACGTAAAACCGGCGGCAACTACATAATGTGTCGTAATATTTCAGGACGGCCAAGGCCTACAAATACATGTAGGGCAATCAACCAGGTCTGGCACCAGGTCCTCAAACACGTAAATCTTACGAAATCGGCGCTACGACGAGCGAGGTGTCACTGTGTTTGGGGAGGAAAAGTGCTGCTCAACACGGGCATATACATTGTAGAAAGTGACTCGGCGTATGTACACAACGGATCCTGACAGACATCGGTTGCAGCGTCCAGGGGCACAGGTGCGTCGAAGTGCTCTACTTGTACACCGATGCAACGTCTTGATGGCTGAACGAATGGAAGCAAGCAACATGATGCGTGCCAACTAGCCGAGAACATTGCAATCGTACCAGGTGTTTGGTCACGGCCGCTTTGAGAGGGAAACAAGTGCTACGCAAAGAGTGGTCAACGAGCCAGCACCCATTGGTTTGCATCAGTTGGAACATCGGTTCCACCGGCCGCGTGCCATGGGCACACAAGTCTTGTGTCAGAGAGAATCACGCGGACTTCGTGCAGCGAACGAAGTCAACGCGATGATGCTCATGGAGGCGAGTCCGTGAAAATCGCTGGTTCCCTTGCGAAGAGAGAGGCATTGTGACTGTACCTAACCTGTACATGTGTGACGTGTACGGCTGCTGAGAGAGAAAAAGAGACGAGAGAGAGACAGTGCACGCTCGAGATTGCGTACTCCTCTTACTTTGCAACAAGAAAAAAAAAAAAAACTCCTGATGCTGTGGTAAAAAGCGTCGACAGCAACGACAAGACGGTAGCTCTCACCTTGCTGGAGGAACGCTTGTCTCGACTGCGGTTCCGCGCTCATCTCGACGGCAGCTACGACAGCAGGAACGGGAGTTTGGGCAGAGAAAGGTCCGTGGGATGCAAGAAAAAGTGTGCGTGCTGACGAGGGGATCGATACGATTGCAACCCGCTGAACGGAGCAATTCGAGTTGGATTGCTCGCTATTACTACATCTCGTGCTGGTGCAATATTCCGTGCATCAACCGCAGGCAAGCGTCTTGTCCCCACTCATGCAGAGCTCTCAGCTACGCGCGCAGCAGCAAGACCTAGTTCTCATCTCATGAACAGGGTGCCTAATGTCATGATGTGTCATGTAGGTGATGATGTTCCTCCCACCTGTTCGGGATGCTGCTGCGCGTACGGGGAGCTTTGCGGATCCCGCGACGAACGCGTCGGTGGAGGCCACCGAAAGGAGGGCGAGAACAGCCGCAAGGAACGCAGACTTCATGGTGGTGACTTCGGAGGTTTGGAGGAAGAGAGCGATCGAGAGGAGAGAATGCGTGTGTGCTTCTCGAGCGGCACCGAAAGACGAAAGCGTACGTGTCGGCAACGCGGCAACGCATTTCTCAGATGAGTCATCGGCTGACCAATCACATCCTCTGAATAAGAGGGGATGGTTCTCCAAGCACGCTTAGAGAACCAAATGAATCCCCACCCCCCCTATAGCTTGGGGGCTCCGTGTATCCGAGTCCTGCCTATTTTAGCACACAGTGACAAGGAAGGGGAACCAGGAACACTCTGGCTCTGCTGTACCGAGACACAGGGGAAGGGTAGGATGACCATGGCACCATCATATACCCCGGTCAGTATACTTCGTAGCACAGGTGCCTTCGATGTTTCGAGAGAGCTACAACAACCCTCTTTGATATTGTGTATCCAGCCTGTCCAACTCATGATTACCTGCCCCCTCGTTGGCGTGTTGCCGCTTCCCCATGACATATGAGAGTTTCGATCCGTTCTCTTCCCTCTTCCCAGCACTTATCCAAGGCTCTGGCGCTGTCCTGCCTTCTCTGCTGCACCATCCGCCGGACACAAGGGTTTGCTTTCTCGTCGAATTGTGCTTCACGACAAAACAACTGTCGCCGTGGCCGGCCTTCACCAGCCACAGCAGTTGATGTTGGGAGAGGGAGTCGTGCGGCGGAGGTAGCACCTCAATGGGCAACAGGCTGGCGTGCTGATGAAGCTAGTGCAAGGTACGGCCTTGGAGTGCCACGGGGTTGATAGCGGCGAGGCTCAGGAGCAGGAAGACCATTTCCGCGTGGCAAATGTGTGGTTTACCCCAACCTCGTACCGGCAAGCACTTCGCGCGCAATGGTGCGGTGCAGTAGCGGCAGCATTGCAGTACACGACTACATACCGGCATACGGCATGGTGATATACGCCGCAGCAGCAGGCACGAGTGATACCTGTACCGCACACTTCTGTAGCATGTTGTTGATTTCGAGAGCGTGAGTTATCCCAACATATCAAGAATTTATGCTGTGTAAAGAACACGTGTAGCAGCAGTACTGCTGTGACCAGGCGGCGGAAGCATCCCGTTCGCGTCGCCACACCCTCTCGACAGTACTCGCCAAGAACATACATGACTGCTGTTGGCATCTACAGCAGTAGTCCAACACCAAAGCTCACAGAACGGCTTTCTGTACAGCATGGCATCCTGTGAGAGGTCTCACAAGAATTTCTGTACATCAGTAGGTCGTCGTGATGCCGGCCAACGTTGGCGGCTCCCGCCCGGCGTTGCACAACTCAAGCGCAATTTATGTTTGCTCGAACGCAACAACACTCGGCGAAACCTTCAAGTTCTGGGGAGTTCACCATTCTCGGAGTCGTCCTACCGGTTGTTTTTCTACAGGTATATCGTCACGAAACGTGTGCACGCGCGCAGCCACGAGCGATGCGAACAACATATTCTCAATGTTGAACAGCCATGTCGACGTCAGTGAGGCGTGTTAGTTCGTCCGTGCCTGCCGATGCTCGCAACGGGAGTTGGTTGAACGAAAATTAAAATTCATGGTTCAACGACCCCCCCCCCCCCATCGTGGGTGTCAGACACCAGGACGGCCTAAATTTTTCTGCAATGTACATGCTTGGGGACCACCTTATGGCCGTCTGTGCTGTCTTCTTAGCCTCTTGAAACTCATCTATTGTACGATCACTTCGGCGCCAACAAACTCTTCTGGACAAGGCGAATAGGACGGGGACGCGAGGCTTGGCGATCACCGAGTAGCCGCCGATGCGCATCAGAGACAGCAACAGCAGCTGAGGGCGACACTGACGAGGAGCAGCAGGAGGAGGAGGTGGAGGAGGAGGAGGGGGGCGGCAGCGAAGAGCTCTTCGACGAGTTGCCGGAAGAGATCGAGGAGGTACGGGGGGCGTTCTTGGACCGTCCGGGGCAGATGCTGGACGTCGACAAGATCTTGAGGGAGACGGAGCACATCGAGCACGACGGTATCCCGGAGGACTTCCGCACCGGCTACGTGACCATCGTCGGCAGCCCCAACGTGGGCAAGAGCACCCTGATGAACAACATGATCGGGGACAGGCTCTCGATCGTCACCCCCAAGGTGGGTCGTCGAGAACCGTTGTTCTGAAAGGGGTAGTTACCGCCGGTGTCGGGTCCCCGGCTACGGCCACTCGACCCGTGACGGCGAACACAAGCCGAATCCCGGGCGACCCACCTCGCAACCCATGAAGCCGGGTCCCTCTCTGTGGAAACCCGGACTAGGAATTCTGCTTTGTTGTTGTGTTTTTGTCCCCCTAACACGGACGAGATTCCATTGATTCAATTGGTCAACGCGCTCGTACGGTCGATGCTAAAATAGCTGCGGGAGCAACAAAACACTCGTGTTTGTAGCAATGGCGTCGAATCGTCGCGACTGGTCTTCAATACTAGGTTCGCAAAACAACGTTGTAGGTGTTTCCGCGGCAATTTTTTTTCCACTCGGTTTTGCCCCTCTCCCACAATGTGCCTACATACGGTTAGCAAACCCCCGCTGGTTTTCTTGTGCCTTGTTGGGATGCCGAAGGCGGGCACGACCCGTCACCGCATCACGGGGATTATGACGGGAGACGACTTCCAGATGATCTACCAGGACACGCCCGGCGTCCTCACGCCCGCCTACATGCTGCACGTGAGTGTAACTGTCACGGGTTTTGGAGTCTTTGCTGGGCTTGTGACCACGGGCTTGATAGTGGCAAACGAGCTACGCAAGAAACTGTAGCACCAACGAGGACGACGGTGACAACAACAACGAAACCACCACCGCCAGCACTAACAACAATAACGATACTTGCTGTTTTCAGTTCACTGCGACCAGTTGTTTCCTCGCGTTCTGCAAACGAATCCAGCGTTTTAGAGAAAGGTTGAGGCGCGGCCGTGCCATGACGCCGTTTTTGTTTCTAGAGACCCCGTGCGCGTTTTTGTTTGGGCCCGGCGAACTTCTGGCAGGTGACTCGCTGATGTTTTTTTTTTCCGCGTTCGATCCGTGCTACTGTTTTCACCGGCAACCTCGTGTTGCCGGTCACCGCCGTGTCTACTGCTGTGCTACCCCCCTTTGGCAGGAGGGCATGATGAATTTTGTCCAGGAAGCGATGGGCGACGCCGACGCGATTCTGTTCGTCACGGACCTCTTCGAGACCGAGTTCGCCAACACGCAGGTTAAAAGAGGCGCAAGCTTCTGCACCCCTGCGTCTGGGTTTTGTTTTGATATTCCCGCCTGGGCCTTACATCTCTTTCGGCCACGATTCGGACGGGACGGGATACTGAGGATTCTTCCAAGAACATTCCACGCTGGACTCCTTTCTCTGAGACCTGTTTTGTGTCTTCTTTCTTTCTGCGGTCCCTTTTTTTCGACAGATTTTCGAGCGGATGCTGGCAGCAGGGAAGCCTATCGTGGTGGCTGTCAACAAGGTCAGTTGTTTTGTTTGCTTCTTCCTCGTTTGGTTGCTTTCTTTTGTGTTTTTTGGCGGTAGATTCGAGACCGAGATGTTTGTCTCGGTGTTCACTTTTCGCTGCAAATACTTGGCCTCGTCTCATTTATTTGAAGTATTTTTTTCCAGCATTCGCCATACGCTACCTCTCGCGTCATGTCTTGGTTTTGCAATAGTCTTCGCTGGGTTTACGAATGGGTGCGCGATGTACGTGTGTTAATTGGCGTTTTCAGGTGGACCTTCTCCCTTCCGACGGCAAGAGCGGGGACGGCCCCGAGCGCCCGGGGTTGCTGGCCGCAAGCACCCAGAAGGAGGTGGGGTCTCTGAAGGACGTGCTGGGCAAGTGGGAGGAGCGCCTGCCGGGGGCGACCGTCCTGCCCATTTCCGCGCTGGAGGGTATCAACACGGTCGATGTGAGTGCCGGCCTGTGTGCGCGACAGATGTATGTGCCGTGGCGATACTGCTGTTGGGGGAGGGTTGGTGTGGGTGCAGATGTCAAAGTAGATATTTGGGTGACGGCGATGATGTTGTGATGGCCCAAAGGGCATCAACGTAACACGGTCGATGTCTCGGCCGGTGTTAGAAACAGACGCCTGTACCGTGGCGATACTGTTGGGGAGGTATGGTGGGGGGAATTAATTGAATACGCGGTCGATGTCAGTCCCGGCCGGTGTCAGCAGCAGGTGTCTTGTACCGTGGCGATGCATGTGTCGTTGTGGAAGTTTTGAGGCGCATCCCTCTGCGACACCCATAACTCCAGACATTACATGCGGCTCGCCGATTCTCAGAAAATGTTCATACAACTGCAGAAAGACTTACCCGTTCAAGTTAATACCACAGTAGAAGGGGATGGATGTGTTGAAGTCTTTACAGTGAGTGGAGAAAACCGGCCGGATACTGGGTTTTCTTTCAGTCTACGTGTGTGTATGCATGTGCACGTTCCATCGACAAGAAACAATCACACTGCTTGCTGTTGTCGGCACTCTTTGGTGCTACCTCCGTGCACGGTCTTTCGCACGGCGTCGTACTTGCGTATGCGCGCACCTCTCTTCAAATTACCAACCAACAATGTCGTTGCTGCATTAGTGCAGCTCTCTTGACATGGCCAAAAACATGATTCATTTCGTTTTTGTTCGTCGGTGGTGCCGTACCGCCTCTGCCATCATCCCGTTTCGGCTCGCCTGGATTTTCGATCATGCTTCATCAGCTCGCAGGCGAGCTCAAGAAGCACATCCCGGAAGGACCCCCGCTGTTCGGCACCGACGTCATGTCGGACAAGCCGCAGCGCTTCTTCGCGGCGGAGATCATCAGGGAACAGATCTTCGGGAGCTTCTCGCAAGAGGTGCGTATTGTAGTGGTTGATTGATGAGCGGCTTAGGCGGCGTGGCTGCTGAACTTGCGGCTGCTGTCTCCTGGCGCAGGTAGAAACTTTAGCTTGCACGACGCGTCGGGCGGTTGGTTCACAATCATTGATTCACCGATCACTTGTTTTTTCAATGGTGATATGCATACGATCGGGTCGTTCTGTACATTCTCCTCATCTCTTCTCTCGACCGAGATGAATCTTAACGGACCAAGATCGGCATTATCACGCACGTCCCCCCTCGGGTCAAGGTAGGGCTGAAAGATAAGCCCCCCCTCGCCCCCGCTCCGCTGGCAGATGAATCCGAATCACGCCACAGTCTGCGCACGCATCAAAATCTCGTGTGTGCTATGTAACACTGCGAGGACCCAACAGACGCGTCTGCATCTGGGACGTTATGTTTGCGATCCGCATCCAATCGTGGAGCTGCTGATGTCTGTTGCGTGTGCGTGGACCGTGATGACGGCATTTCTTGAGTGAAGGCTTGCTATTTGCGTCTGGTGCTATCCTCTAGGTCGAACACAAGAGCGTCCGCCGATTTCATGTACTCTGTGCTCTCGCTGATACACGCACGTTCCCAATTTTGTTAAATCATTGATTTTGTTCAGACACTGAATCGCGAACTTTTTCTCCCTGGGTAAGCTCAGCGGGAGAAGGACCGAGACCGTTGTGGCGTTAAGTGTTAAGTTGTCCCCCGCCCTCCCAACATGGTCACGCCGCCGTCCGGCCAATCAGATCCCGTACTCGTGCGAGGTGCTGCTGGGCAAGTTCAAGGAGAGGATGGTGGAGACCGTCATTGACGCGACGATCGTGGTGTCTCAGGAGTCTCAGAAGGGGATGGTGATCGGCAAGAAAGGGGCCAAGATCAAGGAGGTTGGCATCAAGGCCAGAGTGGTGAGCACAACAACAATGGGTGAGGTGACACCACCACCACCACCATTTTTTTTTTTTTTTTGTCTTCCGGCAGACAGGGTAATAATCCACCATGACCTACAGAAACACAACAGCAGCATCTGCCCCCGCAGCGAAAACCACAACAACGAACAGTCACCCTGCCTACCAATCACCCTTGTTGCTGCGGTATTACAGCTGTAGTTTCGGTTGAATAGATTCGATGTCACATGCGCTTGTGGCCGCCCGCGTTTTTTCAGCGCTGAATCGTACGTCGTGTCGTGCTGTATTGCATGCATGTGCGAACGCTGCTGTGTTGCGAAGGTGTCGTCATATTGGCCCCTTTGTTGTCTCGGCACTGCCTGGTTGTTGCATTTTAATCACACCCGTCGGATCGCCGCTGCCTCGTCTTGACACCACTCCCTCTCTCGCCCAGGCCTTGGAAGAGCACCTGGGCACTCGGGTGAACCTCCGACTAAACGTGAAGGTGGACAAGAACTGGAGGCGAAAAAAGACGTCGCTCAAGGAGTACGGATACATGTCGTGATCTGTGATTGCTTGGCTGCTGCGATCATACGCGACCTGCCTGATCCACGCGTCTTAATTCGCGCTGTGTGGGTAACTGTATGTCTCCCTTGTGGTATTCTAGTCTCTGATTGTGTTGCATGTCGTTGTTCGAGTACGGATCCATGTATTGACACGATTATGTCTCGGAAGGGCTCTCCTCAACACCCTGTTCTGTGAAATCCGGTAATGATTCATGTGGTGGACTAACGCAGACTAACGTCTCGAGGTTGCCTGCACAGCGTCGGGCACCCAATGGATAAAAGAGAACAATTTGACAAGAGACATTGCTGTGTTTGGGTGAGGAGACAAGTACACAGCTTCTTCGCAGTATTCTTGCGCTTCTTGCTGACCGGGCCCTTGGATTCCAAAACGTTCGAATTTTGGTTGAATTGCTCGTCTTGGTGCGTGTTCACCCCGTCTACGGTTTTGAGTGCATCCACCCGAACGCGTGAACCCACAGTCAACTTGTTTGTTCTCACGGCGGGGGAGAGGGGGAGGGGATATGGGAGCATTCCCCGACGAATATAGTACGACGGACGGTTGAACGCTCAAGAAGCGCGGGACAAGAGAGAATCTTCGGCCGATCGCAGAGAATAGGTGTCATTGATTCGAGATTGATATGGACACAATCACGACGGAGAAGCTATTTTCAGCAGCATGGTAACGCCACGGCCTGTAGCCGATAACTGGGTTGGAAACGAGGAAATCTCGGAACCTGACGGCACGCGGGTCATTTGCCGATTACTTTTTGTCGCGGATGAGCGCTCCGGATCCAAGGTAGCCGCGAGCTAGATCCTATTTTAGTCTTTAGGCAACGAGAAGACTAAGGAGGCCAAGGGCGTTAAACGATGTAAGAGCACTTTGTCGGTTTTCTCTCGTCTACGTACGTCTCGCTCAGGATGGGATAAAGGTGGACAAACACAAGAACCAACGGCACACGTCCCTGCCATAGCAGAGAGCTCAAACCTTGAGCATTTTGGAATCGTACCACGCCCTTTCCCCCCCGGATGACGCGCGCCGGAGCGCCGCCTGATTGTTGGGACGCAAGAGACTCGAGCAGCGTGCAGACAATCGGGTACCTAAAGCACAACAACAAATTTAACGTCGCCGCCACGGAATCCCGGTACAGTACCACATCTGCTTGCGACACTGGCACATCAGGATATTTTGCCCTGGCAGGTAACGTGGACTAGTGCTCTCCGGAACGTGTACGTATGCAAACATTCACCAATAAATGACAGGAAATGCTTTTCTCCTCGTTGGCGGTGTCAGCCGACAATGTCGCACTCACTCAGAACCTAGCAGCGTAGCATCTCACGTGTGATCGATCGTCGACGCTGTCGTAACGAATACAGGAGTACAACACTCTTATTCAAGGCATGACGCACAATTGGAGACCTGTCTCGAAACGCCATCTACGCGTTCTCTATCGCCGAAAATCCACGAGAACAATGGTCGACAAAAAACAGGGAGCAGGAGGAGACGCACTCTCGGTAATATACACCCCCCACCGTTAAATGTGCGAGAGAGGCCAACTGCATTGCCTTTTCCAACCGCTACATGAGAAGGAAATAGGCGAACGGACATGGCCCTGGTTTTACGCACGTGTGCCGCCCTGTCGAAATCCTCTCCCGCCCCCGCCCCTGCCCCCCATCCCCTCCCCC